TAGTAGTTGTAATTACTAACTTACTACATGTATGAACCCTCTCCCCCAAATGGCCAATAACATGACCAGGCTTTTATTTTATAAATTTTTTACTTGTACAGCTTCTTAGAGGTTTTAAGGCTTCAAATATACATGTCATGTAATTGCCTACATGCCCAACAATGCAAAATGCATGAATCCCTTGTATATTATTTAAACTTAGCATTGAAATGATATTTCCCTCTCAAGTCACAAGTAAAAGACAAGCATAATACATTGTATAATAATAATAATAATAATACAGTTTTATTACACCGTAATGAAATTACAAATTCATTTTTGGCTGAAAGTAATAAATATGAATATGAAACAAGTAAAATATTGTTATTTATAAAGTTACAAATCTTATTTTTCTTGAAATATATACATATCTGTAACAAATCCTGTCATATACTTATCCTTTTGTTTGATTCCATTACAGGTATGAATGCTGCAGTTCGTGCAGTTGTTAGGATGGGTATATACGTTGGATTCAGAGTTTATTGTATCCATGAGGTAAGTATTTATTGCACAAAAGAGGTCAATTATTGACCCCTCTTAAACAGTTGTTAAATCTCTTGGTCTAGGCTTGCCAGACAGCATACAAAAATGTAGTGTTTGTCTTTTGTTTCTTTATTGGTGACTAGTGTTTCAGTGTTTACATTATGTCTATATTGGGTCTTGATCACATGGAAGTATAGTATAAAAATTCAGTTGCAACTTCCTCAGGGAGTCACATACCACCTTTTTACTCATTCAATTATTAAATCTCACCAACTGAATGCTCTTGAATTCATTCCCTTTTGCATGCTGAAAATTAAATGATTAGTTTTAATAAAATCATTGGGTGTGCAGTGATTTATACAGTCATTATATTAGAAATTTGGACACTTTTCTGCTATACTCATTCCAAATCGCTATTATGATCTCATCAGAGTCAAACTATCAAATAAAATAAAAAACACAAAACAAACCATTATGTAAAATTTAAAAGAAATTAAAACTCATTTCTCAGTGTATCTTTACAAATAAGTGAATAAACATCCCGCTATGTTTAACGAGTATGTCAGCATCTGCTCTGTGTGGAGCTCTACATTAATTCAAAGGTTATTTTTTACTTGCCTAGAGCAAGTGCTTTAGTATTATTCAAACAGACAAAGAAGCTCTGTCGTTTGAACTGAAGTACATAATTTATTACATAACTAAGCATGGAAGGTTATACATAATAGTCACTGCAGTGGTACCCACTGTGAAATACCATAAATAAAACTATAAACATTAAACAGATTTGTCATTATTAAGAAACCCAACAGAAAATCATTTTTTTTTTCACATTAATGTAACTTAAAGATGCAATATGAATGAGAACACATATTTTTTAATGTTGTTTGATATTTCAAATTATCAGATTATGATTTATCATAAACTAACTAAGGTGGAGTTCTCATTGGACGAAATAAGCCATTGTCACTGGACGAAATAAGCCGTTGTCACAACGTCTGCGTTTTTGACACCCTCGTAAAAGAGGTAGACCAGATCCTAAACGCCATTGCCTCACCTGCTCTTGCATAACGCAATGTGCCATGTGAGCACAATAAGACTGCCAAATGCCCTCTATCGCCGACTTATTTTTGCTTGTCATTACACAAGATGGTTACACGTCAAACTGGTCAGATGAAGAAACAAGATTACTGATATCTGTATATCCCCGTTGTCAAGTTCAAATCGCCCGGGTTACTCTGTCTATTGTTGCGTTATTCATACACGTGAATAGCGTAAACATGAACCAATCATTTCTCAGTCTTTCTCGACTTAACAAGTTGCCAATTTCTCTCGAAATCTTGATAATCGTTCGTCGTTGTCTACTTCTCAAGCATAAACACACACGAAAAAACAAATGCATTTACCAGAGGGGACGCCATTTTGTCGACTGACCTTTCCATTTGTTTATTGACCTTTCCATGTTATGATTCGTTGAGGGTGCAAAACACTGATGTTTTACTAAGTGAGAACGCGAGCAGTCAATTCAGCAGATTATCTAATATTTGCACAAAAAAAAACAAACAGTTTTAACACCAGCGTTTTTTTAGACGTGTGAGAACGTCACTTAACAATGCTGTGTTTTAAGGACACGCATCATTTTGATGTCAGGTAATTTATTAACATGCAGTATAAAATAACAATACATGTATTAAACATTGCATGTTCTCATATTTAAGTCACAAGATGGCTCCAACCAATTGCTTCCTACTTTCAGCAATATATAATATAAGGCTTTACCATTCACAACAGAGTCAGAACAGGACATTGTTTACTACATGTATGTTTCAACTCCTACATGTTTCAAAGAATTGTATTAAATGAAATCGGCTAAAAAAAATTACCTGTATTATGATTGTTGATTTATGGTTGATTTATGGTGTTTGAAATTTTCAAAAAAAATATTTCAAGTGTTTCTTCATATCGAATGTGAACTAGTCTTGCAAGATGCATGCTTAGTGGATGCAAATCTCTAAATTCCTCAAGTTGAATTCTACATGATATAGTAAACGCTATTAATAACCTAAATATTACAATTTGACTCGTACAGCTGTACATGTACAACCTCCCCCTCCCATACACGCACACCTCCACACACGAGGAAAAAACCTTGCCTTTCTGCAAGAATATCATCCATGCTGCACATAACTATGTCTAGCATTAAACTTACATAAGTACATTTTTGTCAGGAGAATGAACTTCAAGTATGCCTGATTAATTATTAAATCACATAACAAAATACTGCAAATATATAAATCAGCATGTGGTAGCAGTAACTTGCCTCTTTTGGTCTTTATTGTTTGGTGGCCTTCATATTCTGTGACATTTACAATGCATGTACATGTACACCCAGGCCTCACACTGTGATAATGTACTCTCTCTATTTATGACACACTCAATATTGTAAACTGAACTTTATTTGGCATCAAGGGGGGCTGTGCAAGCTTGATAGCATGGCCATAATACTTATCAAGCCTATGAGGGATATGCATGTACCATATGTGCTCTTGGACTATTAGTAGCATTTACGCCGACCTAAATTAAGTTTCTATGATCAAAATAATTTTTAAATTATTCGATACAAGTGATTTTAGATTTATACATGCATGTGCTTCTATTGGAAATGTTTTTGTCGAGCAAAAATGGTACCATATTTGCTTGATTTGTTTGTTTGTTTGTCAATGGCTATTAAATGTCACTGGCCTGTTAAAGTTAGCTTGAATTGATCAGTTCGGCATAAAATACCTAATTGCATAGCATCACATCTTCGTTTTGCTATTGAAAAAGAGGCAACGCTCGAAACATCTAGCTATTAGTCCTCGTTCGGACGAAGTCCAAAAACGAGGACTTATAATTCGGTCTCCGTCTGTTCGTGCGTCCGTCCGGTGTCGTATCTCAGAATCCCTTGGACCGATTCCGTTCATTCTTTGCATGTGCCTAGTACTTTATGTGAGACATATGCACATGCAGTGGTTTAGGGATTCGATTCAAAATGGCCGACTGGCAGTCATCTTGTTTTTTGAAAATGTTGTATTTTGGACATTTTGTCAGTTGTCATTCAAACTTGGTACATAGATCATACATGTTATGATACATGTCTATGACGATTTATTTCGCAATTGGATCAAAGATGGTCGACTGGCAGGCAACTTGTTTTTTTTTTTTATGCGGTATCTTGGACGTGCTCTGTTAGTTTTCATTCAAATTTGGCACCTACATGTACTTTATACATGTTAGGATGCATGTCCATGACAATTTGTTTCAAAATCTGGTCAAGGATGGCCGACTGACAGCCAACTGACTTTTTGGCCTTATGACTATATTTCCACAATTTGTGTGCCATTTTCATTCGTATTTGGCACATACATCATACATATCAGTGTGTTTCATAATCAGATCAAAGATGTTTTTATTTTGGCCATATTACTATGACACGAAACGCGTGTTTTGATGTAAATAAACAATCTGTTGTATACGCCACTTGGAACTCAAGTTTCAAGGACACGCTCGCGACAACCCCTCCGCTTTATTATGACGAGCACAAAGAGAGCTTAACGGGGACTGTGTCATTTTCAATGACTTGTTTTGATTAGTTACTTAATAGGACAACAATTACTAAATATTATTATACATGTGTATATCATATTTATCGACCCAAGCAGCCTTTGTACATTTGTATTTAGTCCCAGTTTGGACGCAGTCCAAAAATGGGGGCTTATGGATTGACCTCTGTGCATCCATGCATGTGTGTGTGCATCCGGACCTGTATCTTAGACATGCCTGGACCAATTACATTCAAACTTCACACATACATCATACATAATATTATACATATGCACATCAATTTGTTTCACCATCTGATTCAAGATGGCTGAATAGCAGCCATTTTTGTACTGAAAAAATCATCAAAATCAAGCATGTTCCTATAGTATTAGACCATCGTGCCTGGATACAACTTACAATGTACTCCTCACAAATTTCTACTGGTGACTACTGGTATCTCATGCATAACGTGTGTACCTCCACAGTGTCGCGTAATATCGCGTAGTTACATATTGCCAAATTTTTGTTGTACATGCTGCCTAAAGGTTATCTGGAGCTTCCAGGTTGATATATAATCCGATAAATGGTAAAAATAGCTCATTTTGTTGTGGTAAAAATAGATCATGATGGCAAGCGTGTGTGCATTTTAATAATTTGAGTCTCTTCTAAAAATCGACTGAAATCAAAAAATCTGAGCAAATACATGCATCATGTACAAGTAGAATCGGCAAAATTAACATACTGTAAAATACGTTATTTTCGTTTCGAATTAATTTTCGCTATTTTCGATGAAGGAATGATTCAGTGAAAGTAAAATATACTTTTTTTCCTATTTTTTACAAGTTGAAAATAAATTTCATACAAAACACCCAAAAAGTCATTTCAGCAAAAATTTATTCCAGCTAAAATAAAGTATTTTACAGTACATGTATAAGACATGCACAATGACATATTTGTATTTAGTGTTATTTCTGCAGTACCGATAGTTCCATTTGGTAGTTTCACTTTTCTGGACTGTGGAAATATGCTTGTGATAAATGTATAATCCTGTGATATTTTCTCTTAGGTTGCCGTCAGCAGATACACTTGTGATTGCTGCCAGAGTAGCATCAAATCCTTGCCTACAGCTCAGATTAATACAAAACTCTGGCAGCAATCACTCATCACTGCTGATATCAACCTAAGCAAAAATATCTTGGGATTACCGGTATATACCGGCGTTCCACAGCAGCGCGCACAGAGCCCATAGAAATGCATGGTACAGTGGTG